TTTCTTTCTCTCAACCACACTATTTTGTTGGAATGTGTCAACACGATAACGTATATCGATGATGTTATTTTTTGATATATAAGAGCTGAGAGTCGAGTTGTAGTAATCTTAATATTATACATTATTGGTTTTGAGAATTTAAATTTTGCTTGAAATTGGGTGAGAATTATGTTGCGGAAGGTTTCAAATATGATGATAGTTTCAGATTTTTTTTCATGAGAAAGGTCCAAGTGGTTATGGTATGGTCATCAATGAATGTGATAAACCAGCTAGTTCCTTTAAATTTTTTATTTTTGAGGGCCCCCAGGTATCACTATGAATCATAGAGAAGAGATGTGTTAGTTTGTATTTCAGAATTGGATACACTTTCAAGTATGTTTAGCAAGTTTGTAAGTTTCACATTGATAAGCATAATATTTTTATTGGTAAATAAATGATAACGTAATTTTTCAATATAATAGAAGTTCGTTGCCCAAGGTGAAAATGTCATAACATAACTTGACTCATGATATAAGACTTGACTCGAAAGATGACTCGACGGATTTTCAATGATGTGATTGTCCTTTTGAATTTGGAGTCCTAGTGAGCACACAAAATTCATGATACATATCAACACTGTCAATCACTTTCCCCAAGTCCACCTGAAATTCACATAAATTAGGATAGAATTTAGCAACACGATTCATGTCATGAGTGAGTCTACTGATAAAAAGTAAACTGCACTTAAGTTTAGTAACATAAAGCACAGATTGAAGAACAAGATTTTTGTGCGTTTCACACTTTATCTTCCATTTTCTGATGAGAGGGAGCCATATGCTGTTCTAACTGCAGCATGGCTTTTGCAAGAATGGAAGGATTAAAATGTAGTGATATCACATGCCATGTGATCAGATGCTCTAGAGTCCAAAATCCAAGGCTGATTCTTCCCGTTGAGAGCAATAAGAGCAGATGGAAAACTAACTTGATATGCTAGCTAGTAGAAAGCTTAGACTATTGTCCCAGAAGCCTTTGAAGAGCTTCAAGTTGTTCCTTGATGAGTGGACTATGTTCACGAGGCTTGTCTTTCTTTGATGCTATGTTTGCTTGATTTTTCCCATCAAATTTGACTTTATTGGGTTTTCAATCTGCAAATTTTTGATAAATTTTCCAACACTTACAATTTAAATGACCAAATTTTTTGTAATGTTCATATCACGTTATGTTTCTCTTTGATTTTTTGTCCTGAGATGATTTGTGAGTGTATAAAATTGAGTTGTCAGTATTTGATGTAATGGAATTCCCTACCATCACGAGTTTTGTCCCATTCCTTCTCTTCGTACTTAAATAAAGACTTCACAAATTGAGAGAAGAAGTTTGGGATAAGGAACTAGATGAAGTCCATATCATACTTCAAAACCTAATTTGAATTTTTCTTTTACTTCATCTAGTTCCTTATTTTGTCCTAGAAGATACTTGATATTTCTCTTCTATTCAACAATGGTTTTGTAAATAGCAGAGTCCTGCGAGTACCTCCATGTGTAATTTTAATATATATCTAGTTGGAGTCAATATTTTGAGTGGGTGTTGAAGTATTGAGTAATGTTCAACTAATCCTGTCACAGATGATGTAATCCAGTTTCAATGCAAATAGCTCAAAGTTATTGTCAGCACTTGAATTGATTTTCCTTACGAAATCCCATATTTCTTTTGCCATTTTTGTACAAGAGAGTTTCATCAATTTTCGTGATTATAGAGTTAACAAGTCATGACATAACCATGTAATCTTCAATCTCCATTGTCCTATGTTTAGGATCAGTAATTTTTGATGCATGATTGTCTTCGGTGAGATGATCATCTTTTCCTTTATTATAGTGTACATAAACATAGATAGAGACCATTAGAGGAAATTGTTGTCATGTAGTTTGTTATTGGTGATGTAAGAATAAAGTTCAGATATTGCAGAACCAAACATTCTAAATTCAGTATAGACATAACTTTCGGTGAGAAAGAATTAGTTTTCATGCCGAATTTGGTTATCATCAGGATTTCCACTGGAGAGAGAAACTGCATATTATCAACGCAAGATTTCCACTGAAGAGAAACTGTCCGTCTCCGACACAAAATTTCCTTGGATCTGGGATTTTTACTAGAGAGACTCGATTCTTAGATTTATCAAACTATAGCTCGACGGGATTTTACGTTCAAACACTGACGAAATTGAGATAACCAAACTCACAAAGGGCCAATCTAACAAAAGATCACATCACTTCTCGACGAGAGAAGCTTGGAGCCGATCTAACAGACGACTCGCAAAGGAGCCGATCAAACAGACAACTCGCAAAGGAGCCGATCACGACATTGCTCAACACTACTTGATGAGAGAAGGCTAGAGTCGATTTAACTGATGACTCGTGAAGGAGTCGGTCACAACATTGATGAAATGAATCGAATGAGTTGGAGAACCTACGATGATCGCTGCACCGATGGAAGAGAAATTAACGTTTGACCTATCTCTCTAGCCGACGAGATTAAGGAGGGTCTGCAGGGAGACAACAACAGGAAGATGCCTGTAAGGATTCAGCTACAAGGACGGGATAGATGGAGGGCCTATAGTGACTGACGATTGCTGGTAGAGGCTCCGGCGGAGAGCTGTGGTTTGTTTCCTATCGCTGATATCATGGAGATTTTTTTTGGAGGAAAAACCCTCAAATCTTCTCATTAAGAGAAAAACAAACATATACTTTTTGACTAAGAGGGAAATTCAAATCATCATTATGAAAAGGAAAAATAAAAACACAATAATGGACAAATAAGGTGGAATAATTTCTTCCCCTCAAATTTAATAGTGTACCCAAGATTTCTTAAACCGTTAATATGTATCAATAAAAATTAATCCTTTATATTTCTTTTTTTATTAAAAACCAAGTGAGATGGGCCTAATTTTCGATTAAGAAATAAATCATCTGGACTTGGAGATATTATTTACTCTAGATTGTCCTCTTATATCATTGTGGACTAACTAAAACAAAATGTTGGTAAGGCTTATAGATTTGAGTGATATAGCAACTGCAAGTGTGCTTGACTATATGTAAAATCTTACACTGAAAGTTCTGTGAATTTTTGTTGGTGAATAGAGGATTTAATTTTTCAAGACAAATAAAGCTCAAGTGTTCTTGGTGATTGTGCCAAACTCAGAGATCACTATAATTTTTTAAATCTTGTTTGATATTTGAAGTGTTAGTTTTGATCGATAAATAACTCGTTTGATCTTGCATCTTGCTTGAAAAATCAGTTTTTTTGAAGGTAAAGTTCTCAATATATCTATGCACTATCAATCATCCTCCATAAGTATGTTTTGAAAGCGACAAAGATTAGATGAGAAATTAGCAAGAAATTTTTTATTTTGAGTAAGTTTGTTGATTCATAGTAAGCTGCAATACATGCAAATCTTTTGAGAATGACAAAAACTACTTTGACCAATTTTGATAGTGCTGTAATTTCTAATATTATAATATGGGCTCTAAATGTGTAAGAATTTTTTTCTCCTGTTATGATTTGATGCTCCTGAGTCTACTATTCAAATTATAGTATTCTTCTTGTTTACAATGAGGACATCTGAGGATGTACTTTTTTGAACAATCAAGTCCATTTTGGTGATATTTAGAAGTAAGTTTATGCTAGTTACTTTCACTTTTAATGTTCAAATGACTTGCAATTTTTTGATTTTTTGACTTCTTCAATATCAAAGTTAATGTGATTTCTCCCATAAAATTTGAATTATTTCTTCTTCACACTCTTTTTTTCTTTACATTACGAGTGTAGGCGCCAACTTAAGATTTTAAGGGAGTTAACGTGTATCCACAAAACTAGGAAATGCAATACAATATCATTTTATTAGATCATTATTAGGAGTAAACCCTTTCAGATTTTAGAAAATACATGGAGGTTTGTGCTCATATATAAGAGTTTAGATGATGCATTGTTAAGGTTGTGTGATATTGTTATAGAGTTAATGCAAAAATAATAGAAAGGAAAAAAACAGGCAAAAGTTAACATAGCCAAGAGTTATTCAAAAAAAATTTTTAGCATCCTCTGCAGAAATTAACACTATTGGCAAAGAAGGTTTAACAATGTCCGTCCCAATTAATTTGACAAGGTCAATGCAATCAGTATGAATTTGGCTAATTACATGTCGTGAAAGAAGAAAAGCCAAGTGGCGTGAAATTCATACTTCAAAATATTTGAGATTCAGCTGAGAAATTTCACCTTTGTTTGGATTATAGATTAAGTTTTCCATTAAGATATCATATATTGAGTTCCATCTCCATATTAATCAAAGATAAAAAAATGCAAGGGAGAAAAAACGCTCCAGAGAAGAAAGAAAGAACCCATTAAACAAACACAGACTGTAATCAAATGTTTCTGTTGATCTCAGTTCCATCGAAGCTTGAAACTGCTCTGGGTTTGTTCTATCTAGAAATAAACTGCCTTGCTCTTATGTATTTGTTCTGCATCCTCCAAGGTCTCGTATTTTTATAATATAGCGGGTACTTTCTTTTGGTTTCCTAAAACTGGAAAGATGACTTGTGCTGATACTGGTGCACGAAAGAATTGTCCTTCTTTTGGGCATGGTGTAAGCTACGTCCAAATCCTCGTAACCTAAAAATCTCCAACTATGCTTTGATACTTCTCTGCATTGTTTCCACTTTATCTATCAAAGAATCATGACTTGGGTTGCTTTTTGAGAAACTTGCTTCTTTTTTGTACAGTTTTTTTGAGAGCCTTGATTTTTCTTTTGCATGGTCTCTTTACATTTCATATCTTAATTTTATTCCGTCGGATGTTATGCCAAAGAACTCTGCATCGTTTCTATGTGTTTGTTCTTAGCTTGATGCTAATATTGTCACTTTCTTTCAAAGAAATGCATTTTCTTATTTTTCTTTCTGCTTTATGTTTCATATGCCAGAAATTCAGTGACTAATTAGTTTTTCTATTTTCATTATTTTTTTTTCTTTTTGTAGCTGGTAAGTGTATGGAAACATGCTAGCAGAGGTGATGGTTGGAAACCTTGTATAAACATGAACTCAAGCGGTACTGTTTTTTTTTAACGAAAAGTCTTAAGTTAAAGCTATACTAATATGCTCATATATATCTATGCACGTGTCATTGCACTTCTGTTTGAAGTTATTATCTCTTCTATATCTTTTAAGCTTTGAAAGAAGTTATGTTTGTTCTGCAAACTGTAATGTTGTCCTATAATCTGGCATTAATTATCTACCTATTGTATGTTGATATGTCTATGTTTGTTCTCTAATCCTTCTTCCATTAAAATGTCTATCTTATGATTTTTGGTGGATATCATATTAACTCCTCCGGGATTATACATAAGTACGCTTGGCATCTCTGTTGACTACATGATAATTATGCTGCATAACTTATTGACCAATTCTAATGTTGCGGCTCAATATTAAACTACAGGCTGAGTTTTTCCTAGTTAAAAGTGGCATCACTTTGTCTTGAATCTTCATAAAGCCATAGATAATGCAGTAAGTATGGCGTTCAATGTTATTAGGTTCCCCTAACTTGGTTATCTTGATAAATAAGCGTCAAAGATGTTCCGGCAGTTCTTGTGCAGTCCTTAATTTTGTTGGTCAGTTTCCATGACTTGTCATACATTAAGCATAAACAGCTACACAGTGCCTAGGCAGATTATACACAAAGCATCTTATACATCTTTAGGTTTCCTAAGTTTTTGGAATCAGTATGCCTTGTGTTTTAAGTTTTCACTTGCTACCACAGATTTGTGTCTGTCTTATTTGCTTTTCAATTTTGCCATCCTCAATCATAGTTTGCTAGACCACCAATCATGATTGCATACCTTTCTTCTCTAGCGTGCAGTCTCCCATAAATTCTTTTTGAAATTTTAATTCCCTTGTTGCATTTGTCCACTTTATTGCATGGTCACCCTTCTATTTTTGGGTTGTTGATCATTATCGATTTTCCAACACTCCTGGTCTAATCAGTTTGTAGAGTTCTACCACTAGGGTTTCAAATGATCTGATTCAAGCTAACCACGAGCTTGGTAGAGCTCGTTCACCAAAATCCATTTTTAGCTAGAGCTCAAACTTATTTTGAGTAGTTGTAATAATGTTCAAGTTTAGTTTGTCTTAAATTATTTAATTTTGAGCTTAGTTTGAGTTTGAATTATTAATTGGCAAATGAACCTTATCGAGCATATTAAGAACAAGATTATTATTGGGTAGTTTGTTAGTTGATCAAATAAGCTTTATCGAGTCTGTGAATAAGAAGTTTATTGAGTTTAAAAATGAGACTTTAATGGTATGAACTACTAATTAAACAAGTATTTTCATGAGCATAAACAAGTAACTTATGTTCCTGATTGAAAAAAAGGTCTAATTAAATAAAAAAAACTCACATAATCACATATTAAATAATTTGTACTCGAGTCTTAAATAAGCATTGTATTAAGCATTAACTGAGGCTTTTATTGTGCTTGTTTGTAAGCTTTAACTAATATTATTCATAATCATAAACAAATCGAACTCTCAACCATTCAAGTGTGTTTATTTATCAATTAAGTGTTTATAAAAATGTTCAAGTTTGCTTGTGTAACTAATCAAATGATTATGAGTGAGCTCTATGTCGGTGAGCAACTTGTGGAGTGCATTTGCTCATTTGTAGCCATATCAAACATTTCTTGTTTGCTCAATATTTTTGTTTGTAGATTTGCAAAGACTTCTGGTGAATATATTAATGAGTTAATTGTTTGTTGGAATACAAGGAATTCAAATTAATCTATTCTATATTTTCTTTTATCAAATTTCTGTCTACATCAACATGTTTGGTTTGGTCATACTATTCTGAATTTTTGGCAATGTTAATTCTAGACCTTTTATCACCAATATATCCTTATAGGTCATATTTTATAATACAATTTTTTTATTTTTAACAATAGAAGTTCATTGATACTCTTGAGCAATTGCTATGAACTCTGATATTGCACTTGAGCTTGAGATCCCATGTTATTTTTTACTTGACTATGTTTCATGATTTCCTCCATGAAATTTGCAAATACTTGCGAATGATCTTTTATCTACCAATGATCCTGAATAATTGGAATCATTATAGCTTATTTTTAGAGTTTAATGCTTTTCCCAAACGGGGCCTAAATGTTAGAGGACCTTTTAAACAGCTTGAAGGTACGATTCCTTTAGCTTATACGAGAAGACTTATGTTGCTTAACATAAATACACTATCTGCACAAGTGTGGGATAGATAGATTAGTTTTTCTTGTAATTATTGATATCTTTTGTCGATCTTAATTCTTTCTTTATCAATATCTAATTTTTGTCTTGATTCTAATGGAGTTTCACATGGTCTATTATTTTTCATATTGTTTCTCTTAATGTATCCATGATGTATTTGTGTTTTGAGGTGAATCTATTTTATGTTTCATGAGCCACTTTTATTCACATATCGATGGTGTATTTGTGTTGTGAGATGAATTTATTTTAATTGAGCCACTTTTGTGATGAAAATGTATTGAAGTTTGATGACTTCTTTGATCGTGAATTCTGCAGTGAGTGTTTTTGTTTGAGTGATTTTTTCTATATTATTTTTTGTAACAATTATATCATCAACATATTTAATAAAAATTGCCATTTTTCCTTCAGCTGAATGTTTCATAAAGATTATATGGTCTTCTTTTTATTAGCTATATTCTATTTCACTCATTGATTATATGCATTTTCTGAACCGTCTCTTAGAGATTGCTTTAACCTGTATATTATTTTTTTTAGTTTGTATGCACAGTTTTTTGAAATGGTTTTTGGGAATCCTAGTCGCCATAATTTTTTTTTTCATATCACCATGTTAGAAGATCTTCATGATATTGCTGTATAGATCATTTAAAGATAGTTGCTAAGAAAATAATGATATGAATCATATTTATTTTTGCAACTTGATCATATGTTTCATGGTATATTCTACAGGATTGGGCATATCCTTTTTAACTAACTGGTTTTATGTCTTTCGAGGCTACCATCAACTTCATATTTTAATGTAAAAACACACTTACATTCTACAACCTTTTTTCCTTTAATTGGCTCAAAGATTTTGTTGATAACAACATTTATGTGAATATCTTAAGAAGACACAATTAACTGTTTTTTAATCTAATTCATCACATAAGAAACAATAAAATACTTTTTGTAGAAATTTTTGTGAAGGAATTGCTCTTAGGAAAAAGTTCAGAGAGGTAGTTCCAGAGACTTTTTAAATCAATCACTTTATAAGGTGTACTATTAATAAAAAATGTTGAGGTTTGAACATGTCTTTTTTTGATATGATTTGGAAACTTAATTATGGAATAGAAGAGCCTTGATAACCTCGAAAACTATTTTTCTTTGAGTCGCCCCAATGTGGGTCTCAAGACATTAGTGAATAATGTCTTATTAGTTGATGAAAGAAAATAGTGTTTGGTTAAAATAACGTTGTGCTTTATTGATCTTGAATTTTTAAATTTTAACAATAAATTTATTTGTTATTATAGTGATAAAGGTTGGGAGAATATGACAAACTTCAAATTTTTATTTCATAAAATTTACTTATGTCATTTGAGTTTAATAATTTTCCTCTTTTTTAAGTTTTGAAATCATAATTGACACGGGGCTCGGAGGACTCGCTGGTCCTTAAGTGGGGGGGG